AACGGGTTCTCCAAAATTTTCTTTTTTCAAATCAAAAATGTGTAAATGGACACAATTTATAATTAAATGAAAGTATAAATTAGACCATTAGAAAATGTTCATACAAAAATACAATACATATGTATGTATTTATTATATTGTATGTTTTTTTTTTTCTTTACACATGACAGATACGCTATATACATACATATATACTTATGTATTTGTAAAACCATATTTCTTCAGAATTCGGTACGGAAAACACAAGATGAAGACTTATGTTGCAACTACCCATTTTACTTACCATTCGTCCATAACCAGCGACGTCAAGAGCAAAATACATATATTGTACAACTTTTGACGTCGCTTAGAGCGGCGAAATGTTATCAGCTGCCAGCGTGTTTGCACACTTCTGAACAAATATTTAATTTTCGTCAACAAATTTCATAATTTATGTGTTCGAATATAAACGGGACAACCGTCACTAACGGCATGGGCAAGCGGTGACAACTTTGTGTTTACATGGCGCTCTCATAAGATACGTTGCTATGGATGGAAGTTACGTGAGTTGGGTAGTTGCAGCATTAGATGCAACAACATAGAACACAAGAAGAATCTGCTGAAGAAGGCGCCTTCGTTTAAAACTGCAGCTGCATAAAAATTACCTACAATATTAGGGTTTCTAAAATATGACAGTCATGCGACCAAATATTAATTGTCAAATCTAGCGCGAAAACATCATATTTTTCTTAAATATCCAAAATTAGTAGGTACCTTTAATGTATTCAGAAAAATGTATGTACTAAATTAACTTTTTAAATTAAATAAATTTTTCTACGAGTATAACTAAAATATTATGTTATCGACAATGTTCCTTATTTCCAAAATTCCAAATTTGATATTCTAAATGGGAAAAATACGATATTCTGAATTTTTAAATAAAACTATAAAACTCAGTATTAGCAAAATGTGTGCATACACGTATGTACATACATATGTATTTGTTGCAAGAGTTCCGAAATTAAAAACATAACGAATTTTTATTACAATGGAAAAGATACAGCGCATCTTACTCTCCGCAACGCGCGTCTTGAGTAGTAAGTCTTGCTCTGAAGTTCTCTTCAACCACCAAAGTTTCTCAAAGTTGTCGTCTTAGAAAAACAACCATAAAAATAAAACGAATAATTCCATCACATGCTAGTTTATCATCCTATCTATGTACATGTATATGTGTTCAGATGTATGTATGTATGTACGTATGTCCTGTTGTTTCGCAAAAAAAAGGGAAATACACGTAAATTAATTAAAATCTGTACAATAAAATTACGTACATACATATGTATGCACTCAAGCAATAATTCATAAAGTGCAGAGTGCTGTGAACTTTTTTAAATCGCTTTCCTTACTTCTACAATTGTACCAAATTCTCGTACTAGCAAAACGATCTGAAATGTTGTAACATAGTAAGTTATATATTTATCTTTATTTTCAATAGAAAACATATCAAAGAAATTGAATTATTTATTCTTTTTTAAAGAAATTTAAAAGTTCAATGTTAAAAACAATGGAGAAATAAAAAAAAGTTTTTGTCATTATTGACTTAGAATTTATACAGTAATAATAGAATAATTAAAGTTTAAAAGGGTAAAAAAACATATTCTATTTTGTTTGCGCTCACACCGAAGATACCTAACAAAATTATTAACTCTGGTGCTCCTAATCAGGATAATGATGTATTCTTAATATATTATGAGACGACATCGGTACTTGAAAAATCTACAAAGTTTACAAATGAATATCGCGCTCAAAGGAGTTTAAGTAAATGTTATATTGAAACGTGTTAAAAATGAAAGAATACTCCAAATACTTTCACAAGAAAAAAAGAATCACAAGAAAGTTACATTTCTTACAATCACATCATTTCTGATTTTATCTGAAGTAATGAAATAGTTCGCCAGCATTTCTAAAAGACACAAATATGAAAAAATTCAACGAAACAGTGAAAAGTTATTGCCAAAAGATCGATTCGCAGATGAAGTCACTGCAGCACCTTGGGAATTAATAACAAAGAAAACTTAACAAACTAAAGGTGGAAAAAGAAAAAAATGCTCATTAGTTTCACAACACTAATGCGGAAAAGCGAAAAATTTTCCTAAAGACTAAAATAAGGCAAGCAAGAACTTAGTGCGATTTTTGAATGTTCTCTCGCATTCCAACGGTCGCACAACTTGCTAGAGGAAACTCAATAAATCTCTCTCTTCTTGCTCACTTATTTTTTTCCAGCTAATATGTATTTTCTGACTTCACCTTCAGCCGGCAAGAGCTAAGAGAAACGAGGATAACAAGAAAAATAAAAGAAAACTCGACAAAGGGTGTGCAAAGTTGAACCAAATTCGGCATATGCGCTGGTACTGTGTATATGTTTGTGCCTACAAACATGAGTACATGAGTAGTTGCGCATGCCTTAACGCCTTGAATGCCACAAGAGGGTTGCCAAACGTCGCAAGATGACTTCGCTATCCTGCTATAACCAAATGTTCCCAAATGCAGTACCATGAACTTACTTAAATATGGACATACATACATACACACATACATATGAACACAGTTAGGAATAGGATAAAAGAAAAAATCGTTAGCCAGTCACCCAGCTTGAATTTATTTTACATTTATACAAAAATATGTAGGTACCCGTAAGGAAAATATTGAATGGCTATTTTGAGATGAACCAACAAGCTTAAGGGCGATTAAAATTATATTTTGTCACTATTATTGAAATAAATAATGTTGAGTCTCCTAACCGAAGATAGGAAGTATATACCACTGAAAAAAATGTTGAAAGTTGCTAACAAAAGAAAGTTTATTAAAATGCTAATAAACACCAAAAAAGCAATAAACAAATTAATTTCAAAATTATATTTCGGTTCTTCAGTCGTAGTAGGAATCAAATCAGGAAAAATTTAATAATATTTCCTTTCAACGCTTTTTTATGGTTCTGCAATCCGCTGTAATATTAAAATTATTAATAATTGATAGTGATAATTAATTAAAAGTCAGTCTTGATACAGATATGAAGAAGAAAAGAGTCAAGAATCAAAACGGAAATGTTTCCCTTTCTCAGAGGGATTGTACGTATATACTATATGTGTTTGTATACATATATATATATGTTTGTGTATGTTATATTATTTACATGCTTTAGTGAAATGCATTTTTTCAATTCCTTTTTTAATGGGTGCACAAGGGTTCACGTGCTATTTTCACAGGATAACGTTATAACGTAGATATGAGCCTAATCAGCAATTACAAAGCACGTTATCTTTGGTCAGCAAAAAGAATTGACAAACTGAAGATAACCGTTGCCTGTCAGTTGAGAATTCAAAATAATAAAAGTTATCGAAATGAAAACGGCAGCGACGGCAGAACCGAAGTTTTATATATTACGTAAATACATACATGCATATACAGACGAGGTGTGATCAGAAAATATCCGTAATTTTCAAATTTTCGCTTTTTTCTGTTATGTTGGTGCACATGTCTGTTATACATATATGTTGGTAATATCAGGCAGTTTAGATTGTCAGTTTGTTTTTGACAGATAAAAAGGTTACTCGTGTTTTGGTGTCCTCTCCAATTTTTGACTATTGAAAAAATGGATTAAAGAAACTGTATTAAGTTTTGTATAAAAAATTAACTTAACAAGGACATTTGAAATATTGGCTTTGGCATTTAGCGAATCTACTATGAGCAGAAGTTTTGCGGCGTTTGCGCCAAGCAATTCGCCAGAAACGCAGATAATTGTGGAAACAATAATCATGGATTTTGCACCATGATAATGCACCATCTCACACATTATTGCTTGTGTGTGGCCAAAAACAAAACTATTATAATGCCTCAACCACTGTCTTCACCAGACTCCCAAAACTGAAAATTTAGATGGAAGGAAAGCGTTTTGCTACGATAATACGAGTTAATTATGAGTAAATAAATTCTTTTGAAAAAATTTCAAATAACGGTTATTTTCTGATCACACCTCGTAGAAATACATATATGTATCCAAAAAAAAAGGAAAAAGGAAAATCCAACACACATATGCGCTCACATACAAATATATACATTTGTAATACATCCTTCGTTAAAAATATTGTTAAGACCAACGGCACGGCATCTTCTTATTCATACATATTTATGTGGTAAAATCTAATTATATATTCATAGAGACAACATTTGGCCCGCTCAGGAATAGTATTCATGTTGGAAAGGTAGAAGAAATTCTCATGTTGTATGTATGCAATTTAAAAACAAACAAGTCTATAAATATATAATATATGTTACAAATGCATATATGTTACAAATACATAATATATATATATGTACGAATATATGTACATATTACATGACATACCGCCAAATCCATCGTAACAAATTACAATCGTCTGAATCAAGTTATGGGCCAATTAAGTTACTACGGCCTCTTCTGAATATAAAAATCTATACATTGTCAATTTTTAACATTTTTATCTTTTGCAAGAAAAAAAGGCTTAATTAATTTCTCTATGTATGAACATTTAAAATTTTTAAACAATTCTCAAAGAATATGTGTCATACTCAAACATCGAAGCTATTGTACTCATAGGTATCACTAGTCAAAACTTAAGTGTGATATAATTTCTAATAGCATTTTTTATTACAGTGGCAATATATAAAGCCTTGGCCACCGAACTTAGAATCCTTTGATCTGAATTATCTTAGAGACAGCTGAACGTCGGGCACATATTCAAAAATTTATTTTCGCATATTGAGACCAGCTTTAGTCATTTCGGAAAGATACCACAAATCTATAGCAAATGGAAAAAAAACTTTGAATGTTTTTCTATAATAATTTCTCTATCTACGCATTACGCACAGTCGGCTATCTATCCCGCCTAACTATTATGTGAAGAAATTTATTATATTTTAACATTCAACTAATGCAAATAACTTCTTATGGTATATTAAATATTTATAAATATTTTACTCACATCTTGAGCTACGTCATTTGAAATTTCCCTTTTACGTTTTATGGCAACGTTTCTATTGTTTACTTTAACAAGCAAATGTGTAGTGTCAGTCGAAGTAATTGGCCCTGGAGACCATCCCCGTAATAGTACCGAGTCGATGGATGATGAAGATGGTGATGTTTCTGGCTCAATTGCAGCTGAAGAACTTGTAACCATAGTGTCCTTAACTTCGATGGTTTTCTCTGATATGTATGTAGAGCATTGAGGAGAATCCAAAGTAGTTGACTGTGACAACCCAGAGGATGAAACATGATTAAGCGTATTGTAGTTTCTATCAGGATTGCCATTATTGCTGTCAGATGCCATAGCTTTCCTACGATTCAGTACGTCATTAAAAAATCGACTTTGGCGATACTTTGAGGCATTGTTCATTTTATAATTCTTGCGACCGCTATTTATTTTTTTACTTGAATTTTGTTCACTGTTATTAGGACTTTTGCTTGATAATTTGCGATAACTATGATCGTTCTCCATCCTGAAATTGTCAGCAGGTAAGAAAAATATATATATATATTAATATGAATATAATATTATTAATTTATTTCTATATACACATATCATATATGAGGTTATCGTTAAAGAAATTAGAAATAGTAGGTAAGATTCACTTACAAGATGTTTAAGGAAACTGTTTAATACTTCTGAAAGGAGGCGGAACATGCCAGCATTTACATCAAGCAATTCATGTAATTGCATTTGTAAAATTTAAATTCGATTTACATATAACACACCCTTAACAATACATTTTCATATCATGCCTGCCTACATAACTATATATGTACCATGGTTTCAGTATACCTTACTGCACCCAGCCAAAGTGAGTTCTTTAAAATTATAGACTTCGTTTTCGAATTAACATATATCTAACGCGAAGCGAATCAGATTAACAAAGATTGTGTAAGATGATGCGCGAAAATAGATTGCAATTAATAGTAGGCAAAATCTTGAAAGCGGCAGCTGCAGCGGAAATAATTTATTTACATAACATATCCTTGAAATTAAATATTGATTAACAGACTTTTATGTTATTGTTATCGGGAAATGATAGTTCCATAGATGCCAACTTACCCTTTATTTTTTATAGGAAAATCTTTCACATAAATATTTTGAATATATTTATTGCTAAATTAGCGGAAGTTACTTCTGAATTTCCTTAGATTTACAGAATTTAAACATTTCAGATTCCTTAAAGAGTTCAGAAAATTTTATTATTTCCCACATTTTGTACTCATTACTATGTTTTAATTAATTTAAAACATTTCGTTGTTTCAAATGCTAGTCAGTTTAATAACAATTTTCCGCATTGCATACGAATCTACTGCTCGTAAAACTATCGGAATTTTAAAAGTATGATAATTGCTGTTGCATTTTATCACATGCGAGTGGCATGGCCTACCTAAGGAAGTATTATATTTGATAAAATAAATGTCCTGGCATGAGTGTCAGTAATGCACAAACATCTGATCTGCCGTTGAATAGAAGCACGCAATGGATGACGATGATGTTGTCAATTAATTGCAAGTGGCTTTGACTCGTCGTTGTCGCCGGCGGCGTGGCCGTTGACATTTTGGCATGGTTACTGTGGTTTTCCCATCAGCTAACAGTGTACCTTTACACTGGGGCGGTGGTGGTTGCTATTATTAGTATTGAGCGTGTGCATACTTTATACTATTAGCTAATGTTCTTAGTTTCATAATGATCACCAAATTAATTGAAGGTAATTTTATGTCCACCCTACTTGGACCAATGTGTGGTTTCTAGTAATAGCACATAATCACTTAGTCATTTGGTTGAAGGGTTGGAATGCACTCAGCGATTTTGCAACCTGGTTTGATGCGCATGTCCATTTGCTTAAATTTTTAATAACGGGTTTCTCTTACGGTGCGATTTCATGAATGGTATATGAGTGATAAATTTATAATTATTATGCATAGCTAAAAATAAATATTTATAGATATATACATAATATGTATTTGTAAACAAATATTTGTTTAAAAAATACAATAATTTAATAAATTTCTGTAGTGTAACTAACTTGATTTTGCTGTTACAGATCAAATGTGTAATTTACGGAGATGCTGATTGATAATTAAATGAAATTAATTAAAAACAAAACATTATTTATATATATATTTTAACACCGAAGACAACAATTTATAAATAATAATCAAAATCATTGGCTTTCAAGGGTTGTAATTCAATATACTGACAAAATCCCTTACGCGCAAATATGCATATTCATACATATATACATGGTTATAAATGTACATATGTACGTACATTCATATGTATATGTATGTATATGATCTAAATTTTTAAATGACGGTCATACGCTGTACGAAAAGGGAAAGGTGTCAAAATGAAAGTCTGTACGACTTCTAATTACTAACATGCAATATAAAATTATTGGTAAATTGACGGTTAAAAAAATGCTAATTTCTCTAACCATATGTCACACTATTCTTTAGTGAAAATACAATGTTGTTATTTGTTTGGAAATTCATTATCAGATCGGCAGCCGCGGTAACCGAGTGGTTAGCATGGCGTACCAACATTCGAAAGGCTCGGGTTCAAGTCCCGATGCCACTAACATCAAAAAGTTATGAAAAATTAATTTAAATTAAAAATTAACCGCCAAATTAGCCGCGCAAATGACAGCCCTTGGTCGGATAAAAATTCGGTTCGTTCCGGTATAAAGACCCGACTGTGGCGGAAACTAGTGGATTTTAATCCATACTTCCGACAGACATTCCTTTTTAAACCCCTACAGTTCCGGCGGTAATAATAATGCATTCCTCATTCATGGTGAAAGTCGCTAAAAATGATAAAGTTTACAATTTTACGATTTTATGTACTCAGAAAGTTAGATAAAATATTTTTTTTTCTCACAAAATCATTTTTATTTTATTTATTTTTTTAATTTCCAGTTAATGTTAGAGACGTTAATGATGTGAAAAAATATGGGTCATCTTTTAAATCTGGCAACTAAAAATATCAGTTTAAAAGTTATAATCATTTAAAGTTACACTTTTTATATACAGAGAGTCTGCTGTACTTTATTTATTAACGCACTAACAACACTTGGCTAGAGAGGCGTTGTTACTCCATAAACTATAATACAAATTAACAATATGCAGAAAAATAAAATAAGTAAAGGAAACGAATTTTGCCACTCAAATAAAAATAATAACCCGGGCCAACACCGGCTTCGCCTTGTATAGTATTCTTAAGTGAAACTTCTTCGGCCGCATTTTAGATTGTAACTCTGGGCCTGCTTGGATATTGTTAATAATTTTTAGATTATTTTACGGGTTTTAGTGTGTTTATAAGTAAAACAGAAGCAAGCTCTCTGCATAAAAATTGTAACTTTAAATTTTTATAACTTTTAAACTATAAATTTGCGCGCGATAAATTTATATTTTTGGTAATTGCAGACCTCCTGCTACCAACGCCTAACATTTCATAAAATAACCACAGGCCTCATACTTAAGTCAAATAAGTGTTTTTGAAGTCTGAATATACATATTTATAATTAGCGTTTTGTAGCCGATGAAGCGATATTCAGCCGAGCCTAAATAACTAAGCCACTACATGTACATACAAAAATGCACATAGGATATCTCCCTGCACTTAAACAAGTGGATATCAAGTTATTTATGCATGCATACACACAAATAAGTATGTCATATATATGTACATATGCACTTCTTTACATAAAAAAAAGAGAAAATTAAACACAAATATTATCTAATGTACGAGTTATATAGGTGTGCCTACTTGTATGCATCATTTGAGTCAAAAGTACCAAATAGCTTGGTGGTTGTTTATTTAATGGACGCCTTTTTAAAGCAAATTTTTCCATTGAAGAATTCTTAGAAAATCCCGAAGGATGTTATAGTAGAAATAAAGAAAAAATCTTCAATGAAATGAATGATTTAGTCAGTAAGAAAAACAAATTCTAATTGTACATAGCAACCCAGTAGTAAATATCAAGACAGTCCAAATAAGTGTTACTGCGCTCTGAATCTAATGAACTGTACCGAAAACTACTATAATTTTGACTACTGTCAGGTAAAAACGTATAAATATTTTTATATAAAAAATTCCATTTCCATAAAATCCAATTGGTTACAACAACCGCTAAGCACTTGTAGAAACATAAAACTATATTTAGGTATTGCATTTTGGAAATAATTATAAAGAAATATAATTAGTAAAATATTGATAAATAATTAACTCGGCAAAGACATCGACATTGAAGTTTCTAGTTTTAATAAGACTTTTGTATTTAGTTTTTAAGAATGTTTATTTTTATTGCATTTCTTTTGTGCAATACTTCGATTTACTACAAGGATAATACAAACAAACCAAGCTGTTAGCATCAAAGCAGCCGCTGAGTGGTAAGAATATTAAGACAAATATTTCATTCATCATTCTGTTACAAAGTAAGGGCGCTGTGTATTGTTTTGGATGTCAGATGATTCCATTTCCCATAAAAACACATATGCATACATAGTCATCAACTATAGATAAGTTATATTTGCTATGTTACTAATTTTCTACCATTTACGCACATCGTTACCAAACTAGTAACGATAGAGCAGAATTTTGATTTTTTTATGTGGAGCTGCATTCTTCGACTTCAGCTATATGTAGTCGACATTGAAAGCAAAGTCAAACTGTTAAGAAGTGAATGGGACAAGAAAACTTTTTTTTTTTTCTAAACGAATAGATGGCTGCGGCCGCGGTAGCCGTTGGTTAGTATTGCGTACTGCTATTCGGAAGTCTCGGGTTCAAATTCCCTCGCGACCAACATCCAAAAGTTATAAAAAATGAATTTAAATAAAAATTAAGTTAAATTTTCTAATTGCGGTCGCCCCTCGACAGGTAATGTCATAAAATAAAAGCTCCTCATAAAAAAACCATCAGCCGTTCGGAGGCGGTTTGCTTATTGTAAAGTGTAGGTCCCTCCATTTGTTGGAAAAACATCAAGACGGAAAAAGGAGGAAGAGCTCTACAGAAAATCGCTTTTGGGGTTACAAAGCGCCAATTATTATTATTATAGATGCTTGAAATCGACCGTAAGCAGATGGCATAGTGAAATGTCGAAAGTGTTAAATGCTACAGAACTGAGTGAACTAAATTGTATCAGTTTTTTACATAATATCTATTTCGCTACTTGATCACCTGCAGGAAGTGTAGGGAGGCAGACATGATCGCGACGCGGAACACTTCCCCTAATTATATCCGGCCATGTTTATATTTAGGAGTTTAAGAGTTTTTAAACTTCGCAAAAAACTTTGACGTCCCTCGTAAAAACAACTTTATTTCGAAGCTTCCTGTGGCACTAATAAGGACTAAGAGGCATATCAGTGTAACCTGACCTGAATGCGCATTCACCTAGTCATTTCTGTTCACAAATATGTGCTACTTATGCTCAAATATCAACCACGTAATATAATGTGGTTTTAATGGCAAAATATGAGATTTTTTATGTAATATTTAAAGTACAATAAACTTCTAGTTTTATTGAGATTTCATATAGATTGTTTTCAGTCTTTAATTTATGGTGAGTTTTAATTTGTTTTTGTTAACTTTAAAAATACTTTATTAGTCTTCCTTTCAAATTTTAGAAGGATCAGCTTGAAGACTATTTCTAAGTAGTTTCGAAGATTTCAGGCCAGTCATTTATCCGTAGAGGACGAGCCCCGAGAGGGCACATCAGGAAGGGAGTACTAGACCTCAAAGACACGATCCAGCAACACACACAACAACCGCTGGACAGGACGGCGTATCGACAGGCACTGAACGCCATTCACCAGGAGTCAGTTAACACCTTCATGAACTCCCTTCCAGTGAATGGCGTACTCGGAGAAATACCACCACCCATAGCAGACAACGAGCTCGAGCTGCCTCGAGAGACCCGCGTGACCCTGACACAACTTAGGTCTGGATATTGTAGTAGGTTAAACTCCTACCTATCCAGACTAGACCCCAGCATACCTAACGTATGCCCGGCATGCGGAGAGTCCCCGCACGACACTAACCACCTCTTCACATGCCCCCTCAAACCTACTCATCTAACACCCCTCTCCCTTTGGTCCAACCCCGTCGAAACAGCTCGTTTCCTGGGCCTACCCTTAGATGACCTCGACGACTTAGACTAACTCAAGCCTGTGCCTAAGCGGGGTTAGCGAATCCGCTACAACAACAACAACAACAACAGCCCCGAGAGGGTCTATCCAAAAGTGACCAAGACCCACGGTTGACACAAGAAATGATTGCTAATGAATTGGGCTACACGAAAAAATTTGCTCGATGGGTACTACGAATTTTAAATGTGACCCAAAAAGAGGCTCGAGTGCATTTTGATCAATTTTTCCTAAACAAATACGAAAATGGAAAGTCTAGCAAATTTAGTAAAGTCGTAACTATGGACGAATATTGGTTCTATAAGTACGATCCAGGAAACAAACAACAGTCTATGGTATAGAGCCTAACAGGAGCAAAATTTAAGCAGCAAAAGTAATTATGCCAGTTTACTTCACACGATCTAAAATCGTAGTTGGTATTCCACTGGGAAAGGGTCAGACCGTAACTGCAAATTGGTACACCGAAGAGTGTTTATCAAAAGTTTTCAAAAATTTGTTGGAAACAGAAAAAAAGAGGATATGCGTCGCTACTTTTTACATCATGACAATGTGCCATCACACACTGCTGAAATAACGAGTAATTTTTTTGCGATCTCCGCGATCGAAGAAATACGTCCAGCACCATATTCCCCTGATATAGCAACTTGTGATTCTGGTTGTTTCCAAAAATTAAAAAAAAAATTATGTTTCCACCGTAATTTGGTGTCGAATTGGAACTGGCGAAGCTAAACTTTTTTTTACATTACTTTCCGATTGGCAAAGCTGCATTTTTTGAAAAGCCTATTTGTCGCCATATGAATTCAATCATTCCCTGATAACTCAAACTTGTCAATTTAATGAGTAAACCAGTAGTAAAGTTTCTGTTATCACAATAATGTTTAGACAGTATATCATCTTACCAAACATGTTGATTTATTTTTGAGCCCTCCATTTTAAGATCACATTGCGCAAACTGTAATCTTGCATCATTAACGCGTTCAGTAACATTGGTTTAAGCTAAGAGATTTTTATATAAAATTTCATGAGCCCCGCTTAATATTTAGCACTTCTTGCATCATTTGAATAGCGCGGCTCTTCAGTCAACGAGTCGCGTTGCTTCAGGTACGTCGCGAATATCATCTTTGAGCTTTATTCCAATTTCCCTAAATAAGACCAAACCTGATTCTTGGTACATGCTCGATCATGGAAAACATGTTTACTGAAAAATTAATATTTATAATCAAACTTCAAATATTCTCTAGCTAGGTTACCTCTTTTGAAGTCAACTCAAACGCAGTTGCTTTCCCAAATATTTCTTGCACATGCACGGGCGCATATTTTTTAAGCACTTTCGGGAGCTCTCTCTATTTTCATGGAATCTAACGTGGTCTAAAGTTTTTTTGATTTACAATTCTTCATCTTTTCTATTACATATACATGTATTCCATTTATTTGAAATTAATAATACATTAAAGAAACTTCTATTACATCATACGGTCGATAAAAGTGTAATACAAGTTGATAATAAATGATTTATTAAGCATAATCTATAATCTTAAAATAAATGTTTCTTTAATAAGAGGAAAACTACGTAGCTTTGCACTCACCTCCTTCCCCGGAATAGGTGACCCCAGCATTTAAACTAACCCTTACCATTCTTCACAGAGACGCTCCACAAAATAATATTTTATATAGCATGCATTTATACGAATATACACAAAAATGTGTGTATATGAATACCCGTATATTTAATAAAGTATTCACATATGGACGTGTATACATACTCGTAGGTATGTACGTAAGTATGCAAATACGTATTTATCATCACTAAGAAATGCACAGGTTCTTGGGGTTCGTATTACTCTAATGTTATACATACATATTTATGTACGTACCTCCGTAATCTTTCCATTTGCGCCACTTTTAGCACAGATTGCGCTCTTGTCCAGCGAAAGTTGCTGTTTGCGCGCGCAGTACATAACAAACACGAAATGTCAAAAATAACAAACTGCATCCACGCGGCGAGACATTTATTTCGTGAGCGCCAACTACAGGAAAGCTGGCGCGAAAATATCAACTTTACCGCCGAAAATTGGTGGAGTCGAACTTAATCAAAAAAAAAAGAAAAAAAAGAAAAAAAAAGAAAAAAAAAAAGAAATAAATTGATAAAAATTGAAAAGATTGCTAAATACTCATTTTGATGGAGACACACACCTAAACGTTGAAATAAGCTAATTTTACAAGCCGGTGAATCAGTTTTTGATTAATCAGTGTATGCTGCAACTGAAGGAGACGAAAAAATTCATTCATATTTTCCGTTGACATAATAGTATTTTGTTCTCATCCTTCTTTAATACCTGAGTATTTGCTTGTGTACTTTTGAATACATACATTCAAGTAAGTCTTCCCCCCTTTACAGAAATAATCATTCTATTAGGAATGCTACAACAAAATTGTAACCAGTTGTTATAATTGCGCCAAAACAGATGATCGAGGCGCCAAATCAACAGCAACAACACAAACACTACGTTAGCAAAAATATTGTTAAATCATTCCGCCGAGTCCCCAAAAGACGAAAGGCACACAAAGAGGGCAGAACAACCAACACTTCAATGGAGGGGCGGAATCGATTGAGCGAAATAACAGCAGTGAGTGAGAGCTGACACCTCAATCCCCAAAGCATGCATACTCTCCCGTTGCTTTTTACGACGATATTAGAGACCGCTGATCAATTTTCAACATTCGTTGTATGCTTTCTTAGTGAGATTCACATTCTGTTGTATCAGCTGTTGACGTTTATTTTCTCATTTGTTTATTAGTATGCGACAGTAACAATATTGCTTTTACTTCCAATTTTTACCAAATAGCAAAAAAATGGGCAGGAATAAATTGTGCCTACTATCAGTGGTTACAGTTTTTCTTTTAAATTTCATATTCCCCAACATAATTGGTTCCAAAATTAAATCAAAATCCCTAGTTTCCTATATTTTTTGTATAAAATATTGCAATATATAAACTAGCATACTAGCAAATTTATTTCTTCAATGTTAAACAATGGAGACACACACTTTTATATATACACTCACTTTTTAAAAATCGTACCTTTAGTATTATCGATTTTCCTTGTGTGTCGTTTTGTGTCCAACTCATACTCACAAAATTTGATTTGATTTGTAAGTGCATTTTACCTTAATTTAAAAAAAATTGCTTAAGTAGCAATCAAAATTTCGGTATTTCAAAATTTAATAAGATAACAAACCACCAAATTTTTAAAAAATAATATATAAAATGAATATATATGTATACAAAAAAAAAATAAAAAAATAAAATATTCAACATAATTCCCTTACGGGTAATAAAATACAAGTAGAAACACTGTTTACAATGCAAACAAACAGCAACAATCATACACAAAGCAGCTACCACGTCGACTCGTATTTTGCAAATTAAAAGCCGACTTTCACGAGATAATTCGCCAATTTTATGAATGAAAAGACTAGTAAATTTGGTAACAAATGAAAGTATATATCCTCAGGAGTCAAATTTTTCAGATTTTTATAAAATCTGGCCAAGATTTCCTACGTTATAACAATTATAATTAACCAATTTTGGCGCGCGCGGGCTTTTTGACGGGCGATATAAGAGCGAAATAGGCAACAAACTTATCGCTATGTAGTGGCTCGCAGCGAAGTTTTGCTGAAATACTAATGCGCGCAAGAGAGGATGTATAATCAATGATGGCCACATAAGTAATTTTTTTTAGAAAACTGCTAAAAATTAAATATAATTCCGAAAAATAGGAATACCAAATAAATCTAGAAAGGTACCTAATATTATTATAGTAAAAGCTATCGAACACATTTAGAAAATTAGCACAGTCTTAGGCAAGATGTTTCCTCACATTGCACATGCATAACTTTGCGAATGACTTCTTTATACTTGACACTACATCATTCTTTCGCGTACGTACACTGAATCAAAATGGCAGGTGCATTTTCTATTTTTTATTTCGTACGAAGACTACGATCAGAAGCTATCATCCATAGTTCACTGCACTTACCTAGTTATATTTTTACAAATTTTTATATGTATCAATGGGTAGAGCCGTTGATAGCAGGTAATCTACTTTTTCAGACCAGATTTTTAAGTGAATCTTTTTTTGAATTTAGTTTAAGCTGGCGAATACATTTATCTGCCTTTCCCAATTATACTGACTTCAGGAGATCACATATAACCCACTGAAAAGGACAGGTTGCAAATAGTAATACTGTCGATGCACATAACCAAAGCTGTTCAGCCACGCGTTGTCTTTTATTTTAGCACAATTAACACGGTAATATTATACGAACACGCAATTTTTTCCCCCGACACTAAAGGAACGGTAAAGAAAATACTATATTCCCTAAAAATTTTCACTTTTTTCCAATTTTTTCTAAGGAATTTAATGAATTTTCAGGAAGAGAGCAGCGCCAGTATATAAAGCAACACCGAGTGGCAAATTGTAAACGGCTTCAGCTGGCGGCAGCAGTAAAAATTCGCTCTCGCTCCTATTTGGGACGCGCGCTATTTGACAGCTGTCAGCTGATCATGTTTTATCGAAAAAATTGAACCAACGTTTCAGTTTAAGGTTTATGTCTTCGATATATAGCAAATATTTGGAAAATTATTGTGCTACCATGTGGTTCAATTTTTTAATTTCCCCCTATTTTATTCAAACAACGAATTCAAAAATATTTTATATGTTTATTAAAAGGACTCCTAATCAAATGCGGTGCACTTGGGTTAAAGTGAACATAGTTTTTGCACATGCTATTCAAAAAATCCAAATTGCTCGTATTATCAAGATTACATCATTACATAGATTTACATTTGTAATCCGCCCAAGTAAATATGTAGGAAAATTCATTTTTAGAATATTTTTAGAATGAATTCTATTGATATCTTACAAAGGATTTTGGGAAAATACAAGTTTATTTTTGACGTTAAATATGCTGAGTATTAAATATTTATCAAAAAGTGGAGTTTCTATTGATGACCGGTCTACTTTTCTCCAGCTTTTTATATAGGTTGGATGCTATCATCTACCATATTCCTTTGTTCAAAAACAAACTTCACAAATGAATTATGTACATATGTATATCTTGAAACAAACAGTAAATTGCATATACAAAAAAGATAAAACAAATTTGCGAACCACTCTACAACTAAAATTTGATTTAAACATACTATTTATCATTGCTTTTTTGCCTTTATTCCCTTTATTGCTGGAATTTCGATGTTCACGTTATACAGCACGAGTGATCTGTAATAAAAGTCAACAAATTCCTTTCATGTGAAACCGCATAACCGATTTCCGGCCGACTTCCTTCTCCTGTGTGTGATCTCATCATTGATGTTTTACTAACAAAGTAAGAGGGGACCCCAATTAGGAAAATTATAATTTTTTAATTAATATTCCTATATTTTTTGATATTGGTCTTGACAGAGTTAAAGCTTATGATCGCATTGTAACTGACCACTAGATTACTTTTTTTTGGAATATTTAAATAATTGGTCATCACTCAATATAATCTGTTATTTTAATGGTTTCAAAAATTAACAAAAACAGTTTTCAAGATACCTCTTATTTCTCATTTTAAAACATAACTTAGGTTCCGCCTATTTTGGGAAAATACTTTATGGAGAAAACAATAATTCGCAAATTTTTTTAAACGAATTTATTGTTGTATTCTTATTTCCTTTGTAAGCTATGTAAACCATGTAAATGATGTAATATTTTATATATATATTGGAATAAAGACTGAATCTTAATAATGTTTGTATGTATGTAAAATATGTAGGGAAAGCTATGTAAACCATGTAAATGATCTTCATATATAAAATATTGGAATAAAGACTGAATCTAAATAATGTTTGTATGTATGTAAAATATGTAGGGAAAATTTTTGTCAAAGCTGTTTTCCTTCGGCATCAATGCTGTCGCTCATCTTTGTTCGGCTCGTCCAACAAGTACGACAAAAATACACAAGCCAAAAACAAATGTAAACATCACGTTTGTCATTTCGGCATAAAGAGAGTGATGAACAAATCGTTCTACGAGATGACGGGATAACATCATGCATTCCTGACATATGTTGGCTCAAATGATCAGGAAGTGATCCAAAAAAAAAAAATCATAATGCACGGTGAAAAGGGGGAGGGGACGATTCATTTTCATTTGACGCGTATACTAATTATTTGATTCAATAGTTGATATCATTAAATCTCTTTTAAAGTATAAATATTGTTTTTATTTTAAATACTTATTGGCTTTTTCACCAAAAATGCAGTCACATGATAAAAAATCATCTGTTTTTTATACGTTTTAATTTTTGTTGGGTGAAATTTCTCAAGCATGAATTTGCCTCACCGGACGCGGTTCAGTAAAATTCTGTAAGAATTCTCTGCAAGCTGGCTTCCGATCATTTAAGCCAACATACAGTATGTCAATTAACTGTTTGCAAAATGAAAAAAATCTATCTAACAAATTCATTTTTCAACTTAATTTTTATTAACTAAAAAAATTTTCTTTAACTTCATTTTTTTGAATAATATTAGTCTGAGTAATCTTAACATAAATAATGCAAACAAATTTCAGAATTCAAGACAAAAAGTAAAAAGTAAAGTAAAAGTAAAAGAGATATAAAAGTTCAAAAGACAGCAAATATTATGGTGTCAATTAATTGTTTGCATTTTGTAAGCAATTATTGCAAATATAATTAAAACTGGGAGAATATAGTAGTGTTGGTAGTAATATTTGGTATGATGGCCACTTGCATCCATAACAGCTCGAAGACGATGGAGCATGGACTGAATAAGGTATATTGTTTCCACTCTTTCTTTAAAACAAATTAATAAATAAATTTTCTATGGCGTTTAAGTCAGGGTCCTGGGCAGGACTGCAATAAAATAATAGCTATGTCCTGCACAGCAATTGATGTTTGGGATCGTTGTACAGTTTGCACCTTCATTTATTAGAATGTCCAAATAAAACTCCTTCGTCATCACTTTCACGAAATGCAACCCCAAACTATTACAGATAGCTTACAAAATTTGACTGTTGGAATTATATTTTTCTGTTGCAAAGCTGTGTTTTTTTTCTGCGCGTTTAAAAATACTATATTATAAATCTTTCTAAGCTTTATGGAAAACTTGTCCGCTAAATCCTTAGCCGATTTCCTTTTGTGGTAGTTAAAATAAGCTAATCCAAAGGATTAATCGAATTGAATGTAATAGAGCAACGCGTAGATAAGACGCACGCGTTCACTCGTTTTCAAATTTGTGGTACCTTTAAGTTATCTACGTTTTTTTTTGAATTGTGTGGGTGTGGTTGTCATACACACAACCGTGCAAAAACAGGCTGATGAGTTCACCAACACACTCACACGATTTCGGGCAGAACTAACACATAAGCAAGTTGTTTTGTTTATCTTTCTCTTCTGAGTACATACAAATTGAAAGAGATTGTAGTTGAACGGATTATACGTTTTATTTCATGTTCTTACTTTCGAGTAGAACGCCATTTTTATCGTTTCCTCCGATGATTTGAAACCGCACATCTTGGGCAAAAGTCAGTCGACGCAAACCATTGCGCCACTGGTAATTCTGAAATTTCGTTGCCTTAACTGGTATGTATTTAGATGCCTGACAATAGCATCTACAAAATCTATTGATTCGAAATATGAACTAAGATGGTATAAATTCAATGTTAAGAGTAATGCTGCAACTACCCATTTCACTCACCAGCCGTCCATAACTGGCGACGTCGAGGCGAGATAAACACACGAGTTATCGACGCGTTGGGTAGTTGCAGACTAAGTGTTGATATATTTGTTTGTTTTTTTTTTATTTTAATTTTGATTCATTTTAAATAAATTTAATTTGTTTTAAAAATTTTTAATACCCATACATATGTTTCTTTGCAATATTTGTTAATATTATTACTTGTTTGATATTTTGTATTTTTTATAATGTTTTAAGCAATGTAGCAAATAGAAAAATTTAAAAAAGAGTGATTAAACTTCTTTTTAGCAATCTTGTAATTAATTCCTTTGGCTAAAAGGTCAAAGCAAAGAAATACATTAATATAGAAAAATTGATTGCATACGATTTCTCTGTTTTTAGCAGAAAAACATTTGTCTGGCTGTTGAATTCCCTACCCGGGAATCTTCAGAAGTTGTCAGAGATCTTATAAGTGGTGCCATGAATTTGCACCTTCTCGTTATTTTAAGTTCTATACTCAAACAATAAGAACTATTATCGTGGGCAAAAAATATCGTTCAGAAGTTTTTTTTCGTTTAAAATGCCGCTCAAACTCGGATAATTTCTGTTCCAATGAATTTTTTGGAAGTGATATTCGGTCATGTAAATTGAATCATTGAAAAAGAAGTTACCGAAAACTAATTATTGTTTACAAAACAAAATTTATAGTAAACGTCATAAAACACCACTTCAGATCTAGATCAGAGTACGAAAATAGCATCGTCCCGGCGTAATTTTTTTGTTTAAGTGGCTTTTCTAAGTAATTGATTTTTTCCATTAAAAAAGACGGGATATAGGCAGACTTAAAAGCCTTAAATTGTTAATTTAGTTAGGAAGATTTAACCAAGATCTCCATGGGAAGAATCATCAAATAAAGAGTAAATATTACTTTTGAGCAGATTTCAGATTATCGGAATAAACTTGATCATAAGATTCTAAATGAACGAAAATGAAATGAAATATTCTGATATCGGCCTCACCAACGTTATGTGAAGTATTCTGATGATTCTAATCTTTAAATTTTTTCTACCAAATTTTGGCAATGGAAGAACCTTTGGCTTCTAAGACTGCATATATCGTCAATTGCCGCATTTAGGTTTAACCAGAAGTTATTTGTCTAGCTAGAGCCATGTTGAGCAAAGTACGAACCGTATATACATATATATGGTACTCCACAAGGAGGCGGAAGAATTGTACAAATGTATTGGAACTATTAAAGTTAATGAAATAAACTATGAACATATAAATTATGTAAAATTACAACAGACCATTTAGTGCAAGCGGGAGCGAAATTTATATACACAATTAGGAATAAAAAACTACTGACCGAAGCCGGTATTAAGGGTTTTATATCATATTGGAGATTTTACTATTCACTTATAGTTCTAGTAAAGAAGCTATAATACATAACTAAAGCCGAGGAACTTTGACCTTCTAATACGCTTTCACGCATAGCAAAATGGAGTATATGTGTATATTGAATCAAATAACATGCTAACTAGTGAACAATCAGTCCTTAATTGAGTATTTCCGAAAGGAACAAAAATTTAAAAAGAAAACAATTGTCCTGGTGAATTTTGTAGGACTGAAAATGTTTTCGAAGCAATAGATCGGAGGCTTTTGAGTAATAAATTGAAGCAGAGTATCGTAAAAGGCGTTGAGCAAAATTGGTTTCAGAGTTTCAACTAATGGAAAGCAACGGACAACAATTGATGATGTAGAATCAGAAGAGATATCGATTAATAACCGGCTTACACAAGGCTACCGCGGCAGCGATGAAAAA